CCCCCCCGCCCCATTAGAACATGATGAACCAACTTGCAACAATTGTGAATAGAGCTATCTGTATACCAGGGAAGTCCTCAAACTGCAGTGTGATTGTGGGAAGTAGTGAATGGTAAAATACTTAAATCCCAGTGAAAGCTGGCACATTTGAGGTGTACCCTCCCTATTTTTTTCTTGAAGTAAATTCTGATTAAGAGAGTTATTCCTTTCTCGCTATAGCCCATCTCACAGCACACTTATCTTTCCTATCCTATCTCCAGCAGGAATCAGATCATTTGCCGAAAGAGTTCAGTGACTTGCAAATGAGCACATACAGTACACTCTAGTATGTTTCTTGGGCCCAGGTTGCAGGAGCAGCAACATGGGCTAACCGCTTGGAGCTTCAAATAAGTTAAGCATTTAATGGAAGATACTGAAAGGAATCATTGTGTTAAGGGTATCATCTTTTGTATTGCAGCACTGCACTTTGACTATGGAAACAGAGGCTATTGATGGCTATATGACGTGTAAGTATTCATTTCCATTAATTTGTTATTGGTAATAAAATTACGTTTGTGTTACCTGTATTGTATTTTCTGAATTATGTTCTCATCAAGAATTCTATACTCTAATTTTGTTTGTTCACAATTTCACCTTTAAATGAGTTTGAGAAAATACTAGCACAGAAGCAAAACGAAGGAAATATAGGAATATACCTACTCTATTAATGATAGTATGTTCGTCAGTAGTAAGTGGCTTAGCAGATCAACACTTTTGCACTGGAGTTTTTTCGTTTACTTCACTCTAAGTTTAGAATAAGTCAGGTTACATATATGTCTACCGATACGGCATGTACTAAATATTTACTACTCTGTAACCTAATTTTTCTGACACATAATGTGAAAGCTCCTTAAGTTGACCTTTTTTTTAGCCAACTTTCCTTTTAAACATCCAACTCTCTGATAGTCAGCATTTTGGAAAATGCTCATTATAAATACTCTATGCTTGATGGTTAAATTAGATGTTAAAAGAAAACTTATTTTTTCAACAGAAAAACACTTTAGAAATAACTATTCCAATTGCCCTTATTTTACAGTTAAGATTATTGTGATAATCAAATTTTGTAATTTTTTTTTTGTGGGCTGGTCGTGGCTTATCATTTCATTCATTTGCTATATATTTCTAAATCATAGTTCCTTATAGTTTCTTTTAAGGTAAAAAATGTATTACATTAAAATTTCAAGGCTATGCATGCCTCTGCACATATGAAGCAAAGTTGGTAATTAGATTTTATGTGACAATGAACAGAGACCAAAAGATTTTATTTTGTGAAAGCAGGTGACAATGAGCTTTCACCTGAAAGGGAGCACTCCAGTATGGCAATTGACCTCACCTCAAGCACACCCAATGGACAGCACGCCTCACCAGGTCACATGACAAGCAGTAAGTCTTCATTTTATGACTTTTTTTTTCCTATTTCTCTAGCGACACACTTGAATTTGTTAGGTCTTTGGGGTCCTCTCACATTGTGGTGTAGCTGCTGCTATAGATTTTGCTAAAGAAAGAACAACACAGATTTATCCCCGTTCATTCTAGTATCATAAAACATGAGCCTGCTTACTAGTCTGACCTATCCCAAGGTGGCATTTGGGAGCTGGTGCTTACCTGTATCAGGTAAGAAATGTTAGACTTTGCTGGTTATTGTTTTGACTTGCCAGGTTTATGACTAGATTTGTTGCTGTTAGATAAAAGAATATGGAAACAAGTCACTTCCAAAGGACTCGTCACAGGAAAAAAAATGAAATAATTTTATATTGCCTTGGTACAAAACTAATCCATCAGTGGTAGAATTGCAGTGTTACTTTTTTTTTTTTTTTTAACTATGTGCAAGTTTCTCCTCCAAAGTGTTGCAAGTGAAGTGTAATTGAAAATTTATGGACCCGATTTAAATCCATTTCTCTAACAAAGTGAAAGCGTTTTGTTTTAGACTGTCCAGAGAAGAACTGTGGAAATTAGGAAGGATGTTTTGAACTTGCAGGAATAGACAGGTTTTGGCTACTATTTTTGATAGTCATTCATTGATGTAGTAAACATTGTTTCTATGTAATAAAAGAGCAACTTACATGCTGTCCGTGACAGAAGACCAAGTACTTCATTAAGAATATGGTTTGTTTTCTCTTAATTATAATGTTTAGTTATTAAGTGCAAATGCTGTGTTACTCTTCCTCAACGTAATTTGAAATCTTGTGTTTCCCTTATACTTTTGTATGTGTTATATTCTTGCGTAGAAAGGACATCTGACTTATATGGAAATATAACTTAATTTAAATGTCTTCTCTTTGGGTGATATGTGAAGGAAAGGCAATTTCTTTCCTTTTTTTAAACAAAGATTTAATAAGTAAAGGAAACTGAATCAGCTTCTAAACTATGAACATATTCTCAAGTTAATTCTGATTATCCAGAGAGAACAAATCTTCTTTCCAGTTCCCTCTTATAGTTCTCAAAACTTGAGCTTATTATAAAGCTACTAGCTTTGTAAATAGTAAAGACTTCTGAAGTACGAGCAAAAGTATATAAAGTATTATTGAATACATTTTGTAGTTCATTAACTTTAAGTGATTCTAGCTTTGACTTGAAATTTTGATTGAACTATATGAATTTTCTTATGTAAAAGTTTTCTTTTTATTAATGGGAAGTATTTCCCAGGAGATTTCATTCTGGAAGCAGTCGTTGAAATTCCTTTATCACATAGAAAGAAAAATTAATAGTGAGTGACTGAATGTATATTAAATTATAGTGTTAATCTTTTATGATGGATCTTGTAACATTAATTTATTTTTTGGCTAGTTGGCTGTAATTTGACAAAAGTTATACTACTTCTGCAGTGTAGGCAGTATAATTTTTATATTTTAACATTTAATGTTACTAGTTCCTTGATAGAATAGATTTTTATTTCTCTGATAATTTTTGTTTCATTTCCTAAAGGGTAAAGATAGATTGATAGGAAAATTTCTCTTAGCTTAATATTTAGTTATCGGCTTTGGAAACTTCAGAAACTTTGAATAATCATAGACTTTTAGCTATCATTCCCTAGCCATCACTAGGATATCAGCAGGAAAATGCTTGTTAGTTGGCTCCTTTACTTGTGAATTTGATTCTGGTTTGCAAGTAGTCTTCAAAAAAGCAGTTCACCCATTTATTTTAAGTAAACATCGCAGAGTGTGGGCATGATCAATTTGAACAAATATGAGCTGTGCTTTTCACATTTGAGCTTTTCTCACCCAACCAACAACAGTAAAATTATGTTTGGTAGAGTTTTGTTTTGTTTTGTTTTTCCCCCAAACTTACTAGCCTGTGGCAATTCCATGTTAATACGGTTTTTGGCTAAGCTGCATGTGTTTTCGTGTTCTTTTCCGAAGAGTTGCAGGTGAAATATTTGGCTCTCACTTCAGAGCTGTCTGTTGCATCCTTTATGTAGCCTCTCTTTACAGTATCTAGGTTACCCACTTCGGTGTTAGATGGACAAGATACCCATTTTTCCTTTCTGTTAGATCTAGGAGAATATCAGCATTTTAGATTGCCCAAGCAAATAGTGCTAAAGAGGAACCCTTGTCTCTTACTTAGAACAAGAGACCTAAAATTGGTCACTCAGATATTTCTCTGTAACTTGGAATTATTTGCGGTGGGGGCGGGGGGCTGTCATATCACTTGTGTCTGAGATGATTGGTTTTCCTAAATCCATTTAAATGCATTGTTGAACTTTATCAAATGAAAATAGCTTATTTATTTTCTGCAATTTTTTTTATATCTCCAAATACACTTCCTGAAGGGCTGTTGTGTCCAAAAACAGAATTGCAATTTTGATTGAAAGTATTCAAGCCAAAAGTAAATGGGAACACCTTTATGATAGAGTAAGATAGCCTCCAGGAGCAGCAAGGAGAGGACAGGACTGTATGTCTAAGAGGGAGAAAGTTATTTTAAAACAGTTTAGGAAAAAAATAAAGGAATTAAAACCTTTGATTTTTTTTTTAATAAAGTAACATTCTGGCAGTAAAATATCAATAACCTGTGATAGCCCCCTTATTTTGGTTTTAGGAAAGGAGTCAGTTTTACCACAAGGTCCTAGTCATTTTTTTAGGTTATTTGATGACTATTCTCAGATGAAGGGTGTCTGTACAACTTGCTGCCAGCTATTGTATAAAAAATAATGACAGCAGCTATCATTATTTGACAGTGCTAGAAAAGAGCATCGGCGACTTGGGGGAGAAACTAAAAAATGTTTTAATGTCTGACAGCTTTTGGTTTTAAAATTTAGCATGTAAGGTAAAAATCTTAAAAAGTAAAGGGTAATGCCGATCTTAACATTTTACAGTAACTATTTCCTATGTTTTAGCATGAATTTTCGTAGAAAACTTTAGACTTTTTCTTATGGAATAAGATCTCTTTGATAAGAAGATGGGCATTGTTGCCTGAGATCATTACTCTACATCTTGAGTCTGCTGACAGTCTTCGGTGTCAGGGATGACAGTATATGCCTTGATGGCTACTGGAAATACACAGTGTTAAGTGATTTTAAAAATAGACTCTGGAAGTTAAGAATCTGAGACAGACAACTCAGACAGAACAATATAAAAATAATCCATATTGTATTTTGGCCCATCAGATGAGACTTACTTTATGATGATTCCTTCTGTTTCTAGGTTAGCTCAATTCCAGTTCTTGTGTGGTGGCTTCAGTATCAGTTTCAAACTGTTCTATCTATACATGCTGCTTACTATTTTAAGAAATTAAGGTTCAAAAATTCAAAATTAATCTTTATCTTCTTTTCTAATGCTTTTTTCTAATGCCAATGAGTAAATTTTCCTTGGAGATAGTTAATGGGATGAAGATACATTGTGACACAGATTTTGTTTCTATTACTTTAAAACTTTTTACATAGATCAACTTTGCAGTCAATACTATTTACCAGCCAGTTTGATGGCCAGGTGGCATGTATGGAATTGGAAGAAGTAGTAATTCTAGTTTTACAGGACTCTGACCAATAATCAGGTCAGGGAATCTAGTTTATTCTTTTCAGAGTGCTTCACATTCATTTTTTTTCCTTAGTGAGTTTCCATTTTTAGAGCATAGTGAAGCAGAAGTATATTATGATTTCCATTTTTCTTATGTAGAAATGGAGGTCTAAAGAAATCGGTTGGCATTTTAGGTCCCTTAACAGAAGGATGGAGTTGTCAGGATTGGGGCATAAAACTGTGATATTACCTTGTGGTTTAGTTAGATCATTTTAACTGATATGTCTCTATAATATCATTGTCTCAGGGTGCCTTTCATGTCCAATACTGACCCATGTGGTAGTGCAAAACTGTATTACAGAGGTAGAGGAGGGTTATTATGAGGGTGGAGTGATAGCAGATAATCTTGTTAAGCAGATGCTCTCATGCACTTTTAAAAATATCGTTTATACTATGGGACTCACCAGCCTTCTGAATTGTCTTCTGTAGCTTAGTTTGGCAGTCACCCTTGGTTGGATTTCCATGGGATACACCCTTATATAACACCAGATGGACTGATATAAAAACTCACTATGTTTTGAATTGTACTTAGGCTTATGTGTATACCCAACATACATTTAGTTTTTACTTATTGGGAAATTAAGAGAAAAGCTTGATTTGACTTCTTTACACCTATCAAAGGTAAGTGTCATGGTTATGAACCAAAAGGAAAAAAAAAAAAGAAACTACAAAGGAAGTATGTATGTGCAGGAATTAACAGCAGAATTGCTCTATAGTTTTCTTTGCCCCTCATTTCCCCCTCCTGGCATTTTTAGAGTAAGAATAAAGGCCTGTCTTCAACAAACAAGGCAACTTACTGTTGTAGAGTGTTATCCTTATTGCCTCTGTCTTTATCCAAATCTGTCTTCCCCACTGGAAGTACATTTTTTTTTAATGTAACGTGATTGGTTAGGTTCTTTTGGGAGTCTTCCTTCAAGCTGTAATGAATTGAGATCTCTGGGTCCCATGCTTTTTTCTCCTAACTTTAAATATTGATATATTTTGATCTTATCATGTTCTGAAAGATCAATAGCAGGGCCACAGTCATAAAATTGGTAGAATGTGTTGTTTTTCTTTGATTTTTTTTTTCCTTTATATCTGTTTAGGTCAAATATATTTATTGATCTGGTAATATTTTCCTTTTGGAATTAATCAAGACTCAGAATATCTATGCTTTGAAAGAGGTAAGGAGTATTTAGGAACTATATATTCCTTATTATAAATGTTTAATCAGCCCTGGAGTGAGAAAAGGATGGGGGACATGATTTATTGAGCATGTATAGGAAATCCAGCACTATGCTAGATGCATCCATATTATTTCTTTTTTTTTTTTTTTTACTACTTCTATTTTTGTTTTTAAAGATTTTATTTAGTTATTTGAGAGAGAGAGAA